TGAAATCAGATAACAAACTAGTCGCTCCCTTAGTACTTTAATAGATGAGAAAGGCGAAGGTAACAGTATACGAAGCGCGATTGCCCGGTTTGTTCCACTTCGAGCATGCTGCGCGCTGGCTGCACTTCCGTCGGGGCGGAGCTCGGTTTTTTATTTCTCTACACCTTATTTATAAAGAACAGGCTTTTATTAACTTTTACAAGATCAATCTATTCAAATATGATGATGATTTGTTGATATCCGTTTTTTTTATAACATAGGGAGCAAACGAGCACGCGACTTATCCGATAGTAATTATCACGCACCGTCAGAGAAATGGCAGGTGTATATCGCCTTTTAAGAAACAATATGCTCTTGAAGGTTTCTATGTCGTATTTATATCAGTTATTCAGCCCAACACAGAAGATCCCTTTTTAGGAGGATGGTAATCGAATATACCAGTCCATTTGACCATAAGCGGTCACTATAACCCATGTACGTGATACGACGAATGCTATGGGCACAACTTCCCGTGGCCCACCTTTGTGACATAAAAAAACTATACATACATCACCAAACACCTCTACGCCATATTAGCCAGTAATTACAATGCTATATTTCACTCTTCGAAATAGAATACAAACAAGTCTCGGAACGGCTTCTTTAACCACTGGCCAAAGCACTTCGCACAAAATCTCCTGTTTCTCTCTCGTATAATTGGTATTTTCATTATAGAGATAATCCAATTGGTTTTATTTTATAACATGCTGACTCAGCAGAAGTTTTAATTCTTTGCCGGAAAACCGTAATAGAACTATTATGAACATTATTATTAATTAAATAGTGTGCCATATAAAAAAAAAAAAAAAACAACTTCAATAGTGACAAGTTATTCAGATTTAAAAACTAAACTACTGAAAGGATTCTTATAAAACTACTTTGACACCAATTTGTAAGTATATCCTTCCAAATAAAAATAGAATTTTCCAAATCGGTTTACAAAACATAAAAAAATACAAGCGAATTGAGTATTTCCTTCTTTTTGAAGTCAGTTGAGATTTGTCAAATCCATTTAACCGTTTTGAAGTGCAATAAGCACATTATTTCTATTTACATATATAGGCAAGGACATAATTTCCAATTGGTAGCAGAGCACTATTCTGTAAATTCCATTGTACTGTCCATGTATGTAGATGACGGTTACAACATTTCAACAGAGGGGCCGCCGATTCCAACCAAACATTAAAATTAATTTAATTGCATGCAATTTTAATGCCAACTTTTTTATTGCGAAAGTATGCAATAATACAGTTTATTGATCACGAGGTTATGACGAACAAATCGTTATTTGAATATAAAATACCAAAATACTACACAATGACCTCGTCCAAATATCTCTTATGATTGACTGGTTATTAAATGTCTATATTATAACTGTTAAATATTCGAATATTTACTGAGTATTGTAAAATCGAATTAAAAACATTGCAGTAAAAATAATACTTTTGTATGTTTTAGTGCAATAAAAAATATTATTTTTCTCAACTTTTTCCCCATATATCACTCTCTCTTTTCATTAAAGAGTTTACTCTTGTCGGTGCAACTAATTCATACATTCTCCTCTAGCTAGCTCTATTCCACATAAGATCTAGTGTTTCCTTTATCTGTCCCATGTAGTTAATCCTAGGTCTTCCCCTTCCTCTTTTGCTTTTTTCTTCTATTATGCTATTAAAAAATCGTTATATCGTATAGAGTGGCCGATGGTGGCATATATCACTAGCCAAGATAATTATTAAAATGTCTATACAATCTTCTATATTACTTTAACTAACTATTATGCTAGCCCATTATTGTTTGAGAAAATTGCCTTATTCTTCAATGCATGTATGGATCATCGCTACCTGCCAAGAGACTTTATGAGGACTATTGTAATACCTATTGTAAAGAACAGAACGGGTGATGTCTCTAGTATTACAAATTATCGTCCTATCTCATTAGCCACTATTATTTCTAGATTATTTGAGCGCATAATTAACAAATACCTTTCAGAGGACTTCCTACCACTAAATAATGCACAATTCGGTTTTCGTAAGGGACTGGCTACGGATTTGGCTATTTTTTCATTGAAAAATACTGTAAGACAATACATATCCAGAAAAACTTCTGTTTATGCTTGTTTTTTGGACATCAGCCGTGCTTTTGATACAGTTAACTATAATTTGCTTTGGAATAAATTGCGTGAGACAAGGGTTCCACCTAATATTACAAATATACTGGAATTTTGGTACGAAAACCAGTTAAATCAAATTAGATGGGGTAACGTGTTGTCGGAGAGCTACAAACTTACATGTGGAGTTAATTCTATATTCATAGTTAGACAAGGTGGGCTGACCTCACCTGTTCTGTTTAATTTATATATCAATGATTTGATTGGCCGACTCGGTGGGACTAGAGTTGGCTGCCATATCGGTGGTGTAAGCCTAAATAATATCAGTTATGCGGACGACATGGTCTTGCTGAGTCCGTCAGCCAATGGTCTTAGAAAACTAATTGAAATATGTGAACAATATGCAAAGATACATCATTTAACATATAATGTCAATAAATCGGAAATTATTATTTTTAAATATGGAAAGGGACCTGAAATTTTGCCAAAAATTAATTTATGTGGGAATACTTTAAAAATAGTTAATAAATTTAAATATCTTGGACATATGTTGACAGAAGATCTGAAAGATGATAGCGATCTGGAGAGACAAAGGCGTAACATTGCATGTAGAAGCAATATGCTGGCTAGACAATTTAACCACTGTTCGAAGCTAGTCAAATTGACATTGTTTAAGTCTTATTGTCAGGCTTTCTACACCAGCCAGTTATGGTATAGTTATACGAAAAGGGCTTATAACACACTGCGTGTGCAATACAATAACGCATTCCGAGCGATGCTCAACTTGCCATGGCGGTGTAGTGCGTCTGGCATGTTTGCAGAGAACAGGGTTAATGATTTTTTTGCTATTTTACGTAATTATAAGGCAAAATTTCATGACAGATTAATGACAACAAGTAATAATATTGTAAAGACTGTATTTCTCACAGCATACCTGACGACAAGAGATTTTATAACGAAATAATTTAAATTGGTATTTTATAATTGATGTTTATTTTAAAAATAATAATAACAATTTATTTAATTAATAATATAAAAATGTTAACTATGGGTATATACCTGAAAATAAAGAGATTTATTATTATTATTATTATTATTACGTATATATCTACTATATATATATATATATATATATATATATATATATATATATATATATATATATATATACACACAATATCTGTGTATAAATTTAAATGGTATACGCTAATAAACGCACCACTCAAACGGCTGAACCGATTTAGATTTTTTTTTACCAGCTGTATAATTTAAGTACGATTTTAAAGACCTATTATGTTAGATATAAGAACAGTAGATTATTTTTTGTACTTTTTGTTATCTTTCAAGTTTATAAATTTACATTATGACGTTATGACGTCGAAGGACAGAATAGAGGTTGCGTACGTTTACGAAAAATATTACAAGAGTATTTTTTGTTTTTTTAATAGCTCGGGGATGGGAAACAAATAGATGGTTCATCTAAAGTAAAATAGTAGACCTTGTGATGTATGTACTATAGGTGTCTTTCATGCCATCAATATAATTTAAGATTTGTTGTTGTTACACAAAAAAACACCGACCTCAATAGTGGAAAACCCGGTTATTTTTATTTAAGAATTACTGAACTGATTTCGACAAAATTTCGATGTTATCGAACTGAATGAATATATACTTTCAGATAAAAAAAAAAAGAAAATTCCAAATCGATATGTAAATGATGGAGTTATGAGGTAACAAACGTAAAAAAAAATACTATCGAATCGAGAACTTCCTGCTTTTTGAAGTCGCTTGAAAATATGTCACGAAACGATTAATTTTAATCATACAACAATGTACATAGAGTTGAATTTGAATTGTAATAGACACCACCACAGCAAAGTTAAATAAATATAAATTTCAGTAAAAACAAATATGTAACTTAAAATCAACGTAACTAATACCTCCACCAACATACAATGTGCAAAATGTACAAAATATAGTATATTAGTAGGTGCTTAGAGCCTGCGCAGACGAAGGATTGCTTACGGCTTACTTGTTAGTTTAAAAATTTTTTTAGAAAAATTAACTAACACAAAACTAACTGAATCAACAACTGTTGTATTGCCAAACCAAACCTCAATTATTCAACAACGTGTTCTACAATACTTGCGATTGATTTATAAATTATTTATTTATTTATTTTAAAATATTATGCAAGTCTTCTATTTCTACTTGAATAATAATGTACGAGTACATAATACACAAATAAGAAAATCAAGAATCGCCTTTAAATTAAAAAACTTATATCGCGTAAAATACAAAAAAAAAAAATATGAATTGAGGACTTTTTAAGTTTATTTATTATTTATTTATTTATTATAATTTTTTCCCAGACGGGAATTAACACGATCATTTAAGTAAACTATGTTAATTCTCGTGTCTTATAAACTATGTAACACGAATGTCTAATCCCCTTCTTCATATAAACTAAAACCTTTTACAAACTTTTTTTTTAATAAGCTTTATTCTATTAGGAATAGGCTAAGGTCAATGACCATGCTGCCCATTCTTTAGTTTTAATTTAAATATTACTGTTTAATTACATTAAATTAATGTCTTCAGTTGTCAATTATTTATATTTCACATTTTATTATCCGATTCAAATTTCATTAGTGAAAACCTATTTTACCTATTATAGTTTTGTCACTTTCAAACAAACTGAGAATTTAGCACAAAAGAAAGAGAGAAGCTTATAAGATGTTTGAAGTTTTTCTAAATAAGGGGGTAAAAGTTAAAGACGTTTGTTCGCCGTATACGCAGATCCTTAATATTGTCCGCCGTGTGCGCAGACCCTTAATATTAAAATGGTACTCACAATAATAAGACGACAGCATCGATAGCTGGAGATCAGAGTCATCTGAAAGAACGTGTGCATTACACTACATACTTGTGCATGAGCTATATCCAAATGTGTACAATATACATCTTGTCAATTTAATAAAATATTTACAATAATGGGCTTTATTTATCTAATAATTTAAATATTTTTTTGCTATTTACTAGTCTGTATTGACACAAATTTATAATCGTAAAATCAACTCTTGTTTGAAAAGCAACAGTTGAGTTTCTTATATGTTCTTCTCATCTGAAATTGTATTTTGAATGGGTGGTAGGTAAAAAAAAAATATTCAAAAATGCTTGTAATTAAGTTTACTTCAATAAAAAAAAATTATTACTAAGTAATACAATACAGTTGTAATAGGGGAAGTATCTGTACATAGGAGATATTTAACTAACATTTATGTGAGGAATCATAATAAAGGCAACAGAAGACAAAACAGTAACTTTGTAATTATTGTATGTCTGTCTGTATGTTTGTTTCGGCATCAAACAAAAACTATTGTACCAAATTGAATGGGATTTTCACAGTTGTGTTCCTGAAGAACTTATTTAAAATCTGGTATTTGTTTTATCTTGATACAACATCTAGAAATGGTCACTTATAGAATCCACATGTAAGAAGTTGCAGGCAAAATTTAATACGAGTTTTAGAATATATACAACAAATAATATATACACACAACCATACTCTTTGGCGCCAATTTTATTCATACATAGATAGGTATATTTTACAATCATACTTATTTTTTATCTTATTTTGTTTTAAAAAGAAAATATATTTTTACAAAGGCAACACTTTATTTAAGTACCTATAAATTATGGATCACCTAATGAGTATTACTTTTTTTTTAAATTTATCAAGCTTATAAATAAGTGCTATCTATTAATGTAAAAGTTAAGTAGTGATTGTTAGCACATTTTTTGTGTTTCTTTTTAAAACGTGTTTTTATATTAAATTAATAAGAGTTAATTTAATAAAATTAGGCATATTTCCATTCTCTATGGGGGTGATGTATCTATTTTAATAAATTAATCTGTAGCTGTATATGATAATAATCGACATATAAAATAATTAAATTGAACACTATTAATTCAGTTTAATTTAATTAGATCCGGAAAAAAATACAATCATTAAATGTGCCAGGACTTGGGTCTAAGTTAATTGAATTAGGATACTTAATAATATTCAAATAATCTGTAGTGGATCAAGCAGGAAGATAAAATGGCTTAGTAGGATTAATTTAGATTTTATTAGTATTTTTAGCAAAATTAATCTACAGCCTTATTTACAAAAACTGTATATAACAGCAACTGAATATTCAAGATTGTTACAAAAATAGAAGAAAGTAAAAAAAAAACATAGATACGACCAATATCTTATAAAGCTATTTTAGCTATTGATTGGTACATGCTGTATCTTTCTTTTGAATAAAAAAATTACAATTGGAAAGTGATAAAGTGTTGAAAGTTAAAAAAAGTTTATTTGAAGTTTTTATTGGAGACTCTTATATCAATACTGAAAGAGAGTAATGGTAAAGTAGAATAAGGCAGCTCCCCTAAACCCCCTAGAGGTAAACACTATCAAGAATGAACAGTTTTTTAGCCACAAATATTGATATGAAAAGAACTGGCCTTTTGTTAATAAGTTACAATTATGTAAATTACTATACTTACAACTATAAAAGTATCCCCAATTTGGCAGTCCAACGGCTATGGCCCCCACTATGAAGCAAATGAAGCCGAGTATGACCACTGCTATAGAGTACAGTGCCTTTTTATTGGCCATGGCTGCATGACTCAGCCAACCTCGTGGGCCCTGCTACACGACATCAGGAATGATTGGCAGCTGTTCGATGATTTCTCAACCTCATCTGGTGCATCTGAATAACAAAAAGGTTACATATTAAAATGATTAAAATATATATCAAATTATAAAATAATATAATTAATTAATATTATATTATATATATTAAATTAATATTATATTATTATGTATTATATTATGATTATTTTTTGATAAAATGTGTATTAGTAACACAATATGTTTACATTTCTGCATAGCAAAAATAATAATCATAATATATAATTTTGGTTATTATTATTGCCATTTTAGGACTTATTACCATGTTGATTACATTAAAAAAAATAAAGGATCTAATATAAAAAAACAACAGTAAGGAAAACTGAAAAAAATATTGATTAATTTAAAATATATTGCAATTAGTATGAAAATAAAAGTGAATTACTTTTTGTGTGATTTTTTAGTCACACATAAAGTAATTCACTTAATTTCTTATGCATCTTCAAAATAAAAAATAAAAATATATTATAAATCTTAATAGACTTTTAAGAAATGTAACTATACTATTGCATAGTTCAGAAAATGACTTCAGCCATTAATAATGGGACTGTCTGTTGCTCTTTTCAAACAAAAGTATTTATGAGTTATACATTTTGTGTAATTATAAATTATAAGAATACTGGCATAAGATTTAAGATATATATACTCATAGACATACAGAAATAAAGTTAAAAAATAATTTAGTCATAAACTAGAACAGACCAATTCATGAGTAGCACCTGTTTACAAATATATATTCATTACAAAATTTATTTTTATTATAATTATAAATTTAAAAGTTTATGAAGATTTATGTTTGAGTTTTTGATTCTTTCAAACTTAAATTTTCAAACAGATTTGAATGAATTCAAAATTGACTTTATTCAAATAGACTTGTTTGTTAAAAGAACTTGTAAGCTCTTTTAAATCATTACCTTTTATGATTCTACTGGTGGGTTTGGAATGTTGTTATCTACTGAGAAGAAACCACAAGAAACTCAATAGTTACTCTTTTAAATCAGTGGACACTCTTAAGAGTAGTTAAGAATATTTGTGTTTATTTAAATATACTATGTCTAAAATAATGTGAAACTTGTTCAACAAATAGGTTATATTCTAACTTTACATAGAGGATCATACAAGTAAAGCATCAAGATATAGCTAGTGTTATAAATGTGAAAGAGAATATGCTTGTTTGTTACCCCTTGGTACCTAAACAGCTTAACCGATAATTGTGAAATTTGGCTTAGTGATAGTATCTAGAAAAAAGAAGAATATAGGCTACCACAATCAATCAATATATCCTAATTATGTAAGAAAAGTAGTGGGTAAAAGTAATAATAAATACTATATTTCATTTATTACCTTAACAACCCATTAACATTACTCCCTTAAGACAAGGGTATATAATATTTTATTACTATGTTACCTGGACTGTAATATTACCTTCTATTTTACTACAATTAGTATTTATTATTTACAAATATTTTTAATTTAATCATACTTCCACTAAATACTTTATAATCACAAATAAGAATTCAATTGGGGGGGGTTAAAACATAATTATTGTTCGAAAATAGGTATAGAGGAATAAGTTTTAATATAAAACTGATATCGCAAAATTGATGATTCGATGCAAAACCATAGTCATTAAACTCACACAATGCTGTCATTGAAAACCGGTCTCAGGCCTAAAGTAAGCGGGGGCATAGGAATGTTAAATCAAAACATAATACAACGAACGTTGTTGTCAAAATTGTCTTATTGGAAACTATTATATTCTAATAAAAATCTCACTACAAAACATCGACTAAACATTTTTTTTGCGTGGTAATTGAAGCACAAAGCGTACAATGGGCAGAAACAGTTATTTGGTATTACTTTTACTCACGTCTGTATCATGAAGTCTTCTTGTATTGGCCTGTAGAAATCACACACAGCTCATTCAACTATGCTAAATAACCTATTTTAGTAAAACATTTTTTAAACACTTCGTACGAAACAAATCACTTGTTTTTAATTGAATGCACGGTTCCTTCAAACAATTCGAAATTCGAATACGACACACCTGTTTTAAATGCTGTACAATACAAAAGATAATGAAATACTTAAATATTGTATATATTTTTGTAATAACAATACGTCACGGAGAAGTAACTGTACCGTAAAGTTCATAGATTATAATCTTCGTGAGAAAATACGAGCAACAAATTCACTGCAAAAGCACTGCCTACACGATTACGCTATTACATTGCCGCGCGCGATATGTCGATGTGTTCGGTAAATAAACTGGTTTTTTAATTTCAATTTGACTTTTGAGTGAACAGTTGAGCACACCGAATGGAAGGAGAAGGAAATAATAAAATGTTTCGTACTCACTCTAACTATAAGCCTTTTGCAATGTCGACAAAGATGAAAGATATGCACTCTCCAACCTTCATGTTGATAGATGTCGATAGAAATACTTTAAAAATAATATTATCTTAAACTTTTCATAGCATAATTTATTTAAATATGCACTCATATTATTCAAAAATACCGCGAAATAACAATTTTTATTTAGTATTGGATTAAGTACCTTATATTTCTAAACGAAAACAACACAGCATTACGTTCCAATCTACGCAGTTAATATTTTTTATTTGAAAGGAACTACTAATTACTAAACGAGATATTGATAGCATCACTATTTGAAAATGTGAAAAAAAAAACATAATTATTCGTTCTTTTTATTGAATACTAGCGACTCGTCCCGGCTTCATACGGGTGCAATGTTGTTACTAAATATAACCACCTACTACAGAATGTCCTTATAAACAACGTTTACAGCTTTATGTCATTAGACAATACAAACATGATAAAGTGCTATAGGGCGAAGCGTGGCCTTCAATGCGCTATTACATAGACACGCGCCGCCGGCCGGGCCAGTAACGCCGTACCGCTATGTCCCTGCATTTTAAATCTGTAATATCTCCAGAAATATTCATTTCAATGACATGCTGTCAAGGACCATATTGATCTATATTAAATGAATAATATATTTAACGTACTTAATGGGATAAAAATTTATGCTGTATTGCTTAAAATCACTTCGTAAATAAACCATTTTACTCGTAAAATGTAAAGGATAAAAAATGGTTATTGTGGGTTATCCTTAAGACATAGACATATACCATCGCGGACTTTTTTGTTAACCCTTTAAGGTGTACCATACTGTAGTACATTGTTTTGGTTTATCTCGTCGGGTTCAGCCAGGGTTTGCAAAGTAAGCGCTAAAAATGTATCTATTTACGAGATCATATTAGAAACGTCTAAATTTATCAGTGTTTCTCTACAATATTATGCATGTATTATACATATAAACCTTCTTCTTGAATCGCTCTATTTATTAAAAAAACCGCTTCAAAATCCGTTGCGTAGTTTGAATGATTTAAGCATACATAGGGACAGACAGACAACGACTTTGTATTATGCTATGTAGTGATATGTATAATATACCTTTACACCCAATATTTATCTCACTCATAATGTCAAACAGTCAATAATTATTTTCTAATTTTTCTTTTTACTATTGACTAGTTGATGATGTTATATATGCCCTTTTACACTGTCTGTATGTATTAAAGTTCAATAAATAAATAAGTTATTTTTTTATATAAATTTAGTAGAACAGAAAGTAATGGTAGTAAAATATCTTTTAGTTAAATATTTAAAAATTGATAGCGTTCATTTAGGAAAGTATGTATTATATTTATTTGGATACTTAATTATTAGCTATAATTAGTAGGAAGATTTTTCAGGGTCAACAGAACACTTGTGACGCTCTTATTGTCGTAAGCAACCATGAGTTATTATGGTAACTGTATACAATTAGGCGGGCTATAATAGCTTAGTTTCCGGTATTTGTATCAAAATCACTGCTACATATGGCAGAGTTTTTATGTAATAATTACATTTAGTCTTTGGTCTACTACCGAACTGTTTGGGACTTTAACCCTGTATTCGTTATTCAGTTTGCTAAAAATACCGAAGTATGGGTGGTTCGGTAAATTAATTTATAAATAAAAAGTGAGATATAAAACCTTTTCTTAAAACTTTAAGCGATAATTATAAATATATGTTTTAATCTAGTTAATTTGAAAATGAGTTGAACGGTAGCAAATCCTGACGCCATGTACTGTTCGATATAGTCCCGATTAGTCCTTTGTTCTCAAATAATAAAATTTTAATAAACTTAGATTTTCTCAATGTTAACATAATAGACATAAAGGCAGTTTAAATTAACACCTCGTATTTTTACTATTTTTTATTATATATTAGATTCTTAGATTACATTTTACCCTTAACGTTGTCTACCACACAGGAATAAGTACATTAATTTATCGAAATAGATAGTAACTTAGCTCCTTTTGTATCCCAAATACTATGTAACAACCAAACTCAGTTAATTTGCTTACAGTTTTTCATTTTGATGATGTACTTATGCAGTCGAATTTTGTATTTATTATTAGTAGTAATTAGTTTTCTAATTCATACATAGATATATAATTTATTTGCATAAATTGGCACACAAAAATATTAATAGATAAAAGAAAGAGAAAAAAAGGAAATAATATAAAATAAGTAACACATTTTTTTCTTAATCATGTGTGTTACAGTAACACACAAGGCAGGTATTTAGATTTGTTCTTGGTGTCACTTTGTGTTAATATAATTTAATTTAGGAATAATATTAAAAGTAAGAGGTACCACTTATCGTGTAGAGGCCTTTATAAAGCATTTATTTTAATTGTAGGCTGGTAATAATAACTATGATGATTTTATTCTTAGATTATTCGTAGAGTTCCTAGTCTATTTATTGTTCCTTTTACAATAAATAAAAGAGGCGCTACTATAAACTACTCTATCCAAATTTAGCGGGAATTTATTTTTCATGTTTAAAATTTATAAGATTACTACTAGACTAGTTTATTAAAAACACAAAATAATGTTCGTAGTACAAAAATATTGTGTGATTGAAACACGTATGTGTACGTAGTTATCAGTTATTTCTGAGACCGTGAGGTTGATCTATTTTTAAATATAAACGTTTGAATAGAAGCGTCTGGCTATATCATAATATTTGCTAATAAATTTCTTGTGGCCTAATCAGTGGAAACATTAGTTAAAAATATTACAAATTTGATTCATTCATATAATAATTTATCTGTAGTGTTCAATACTACTTGAATTTGTACGCAACAAATGCTATTTCTGTAACGGTGGACTCTTTTTAGGTTCTGTGAGCAAGATTGAAGAATAATACTTACAATAGTGGATTTCAGTACTGTTCGACGTATATTTTAATATATTTGATATGTTATTACAAATCCAGTTTGTTCAATTATGTATAATTTTGGGATTGAGTTCGATTATTTGTAAGTACTTAAAATTATATATTTATATTAATGTTTTTGTATTAATTAGCCCGAAGGATAAGTAAGCTAAAATGGCAATTGGCTGGTCAGATAGCTCGAAAAACCGACAACCGATGGGGAAGAAAGGTTCTTGAGTGGCGACCTAGTACGGGCAAACGTAATGCAGGACACCCCCTTACTAGATGTAGTGACGACCTGAAATGCATGGCAGGGAGTTAGTGGATGCAGGTAACTCAGGGCCGTTCTTTATGGCAGTCTATGGGGGAGGCTTATGTACAGCAGTGAACGGATAATGGCTGAATTGATGATGATGATTAATGTTTACCTTTATATATATTTTATTATAACGTATATATATTTTATCATTTCATTTTTTTACAGTTACTTTAGTGGATGCTACTGGTGATAATGTAAGTTATTATTTGTACAAGTGCATAAGAATATATCTTTAAATAATGAAATTAACAATCAACCATACGATTCGCCTGATGGCTAGTGACAATATTATTAATACGATAATAAATATGTTCAAGATAAACACATACATTATAATAATATATTCCCCAGTATGTAGTAAACGCAGTCGCAAGTTGGAATCATTCTAAAATCTTAACTGTTTTCAACATTTAAATCACTGTGATATAATATATGAAAAGATATTTTTTATTAAGTAAAGATGCCTGGTTTAATTAGCTAAATTATACTATAAAATATACTTAGATATATATATTATTTCTTTTTCAGCAGAAGAGTTGTGGCGTAGATGGAGACTGTTTGTCTAGTCCCGTAGACTGTAATGAAAAATGCGGCTGTGATAGGTTCGTATTATTTAATTAATTGACCATTTCAGATCACAATATTGTTCTCACATTACGACACATGAAATTGAATGACATTTTATTAGATTAATACACATAATCTAAAGAATAAATTTAAAGAATAGAATTAACGTATTTTTTCAAGGAGTATTGTACTGTACTTACACGTAAGGAAGTATATAATACCTATACGATCTTTAATAGGGTGACCATATATCTATAAATCTAACCAACCAAAGCAGGGAATAATGAAATTTTAAATTTGGAACAGTATTATGCTGAATTTTTTTTACTTCCCAATAGATAAGGAAATTATTCTATTTTAAATTTAATTTCAAATTTAAATAATCTTTATTCTGTTCCACTCAGGCGGATGCTTTTGGAAACTAAGCGTCAACAACTTGGGGAAATCTTGATAGATGGCAATATCAACCTTAAAACAGTGTTCATGTTTTATGATTTTTAATTTGGTTTCAGAGCTTACTATTATAACAAAACAAGTGAAGAATGCGTGTTGGATGTAAAATATCTGATGCGAACAATTATGACTACATACGATTCAACAGGCGAGTATTTTACGAAAATTCAATGATTGTTTATTAATTTCATTTTGCAAAATTTTGTTTATTTTATTCTAACTAATAATTAAAAATGCTGTTACATAGTAGATACAAGTATATAGTAAATAATTTACATATACAGTGCAAGGTTCGTTTGGTATTTAACTATAGTATCTGTATTGGGTGCAAAGATTTTTTAATTAACACTTATAAAATTTATAATTCTATAATACACATCCATTCTTATCTAGTTAAATCTCAGTCACAAGTAATATAATAATAGTATAAAATAAATAAAAAAGTGATTTTTACGTATCCTATTTCATGTCACCTCGACATAACTCAGATTAGTTCTCTTTCTTTATAAGTAGGTATCATACATTTTCTTTTTAGCGACACTATTTTTGTATGCATCGTATTATTATTATTATATACAAGTACCTAAAATTTAAACAACTTGCAGCATTCACATGTAATAGCATGTGAGTTTAAACTAATAGACTACCTAATTATTTAGGTATTTTTATATTTTTTTTTGCATGTTATTATTGCGATGGGTTTTTAACTTTAAAATAAGAAAAAATGCCTAATTTTGTATTTACGTAACTCTGCACTTTTTATAACGAATATACGATTTAGGTACATTAAAAATTTGGTAAAATAGGCATTGTAAAATGTTACGTATTTGTCTACAGATCACGATAGTGCTACCGAAAATGGGATGACAAGTAAGTTTTGTCTTCTAAATGTATAATGGTTAGATATAATTCAACCACTGTAGATAAATGTTCGTCAGATCATTTCAAATTTGTGGTTTGCATTTTTATGACTAAAACTGTTGTTGGGTTAGTTTATTTCTCCATACTGATAAAACCTAGTTTATTGATTATTATCTGTAATAAGTATATTTAAAAATACACTTACTCCTAATGATATACTCGTATGAATTAGGAATGAACCAGGTTCACTCCTTGTCCAAAATATGTTTTTTTTATGCATGCATGTATACTAACTTGTTTCATTTTACAATAACCATAACCTGAAATAGTATATAAACCTTAGATTATATAGATAGAGTGACTCCATACAAATGCTTCGAGAAAAACGGATCAATTTTTCATATAATTTTGAGCGATAAATAGTTATGAGTGATTCCTTTATAATTTCCATATTTAATTTGTATACATATTTATAATTTGCATCTTTTCAATACGTAAATACTAATTTTATTCATTAAATAATACGTCAAGATACATTGTATACGTAAGTACTCATAGATATACAGAAAGCTGGATAAAAAAAATGAGTCATCTAATTTGACAATTAGTTTACAAAAAGTTGACACGTTTTTGAGACTCGATGCTCTATCTATATAATCTAAGATATAAACATTATAAGTGATAGGAATTGAACCCGGAATTAATATTTGATTCGAAATAGCAGAAGTTGGAAGTTTGCTTGTTCATACACTTAGATTTCATACCATACTGCAGTTAAGACAGTTCATACAATATATTGCTTGGAAATTATTCGTTAATCGTATTAAACAATAATAAAGATTTATTTACATAATTATCTACTCAAACTAAAATAAATTTTGAATACAGTTTATTGCTTTTTTTATTTGTATTATTTTCATATAACAAGTGTATTTTTTTTCCAGAGAATATACAAATTGAGGCTGAAAAAGTCTTCAAAGGAATTATTGTGTCTGCAATAATTTTTATATCCTTTGCATCTATATGCGTACTTACAGCATGTTTATATTGTATTCGCATAAGCTACACGTAAGTAATGGTATTAGGTACTTTTGCGACAAAAATAATTAAGTACATATTTATTATCTGTTTATCTTTACTGTTTATATCTATTATTTGTTTGTCATAACACCAAAGCCGTTATCGTGTAGGTGAAGTCAAATACAAATTAAAACAATGTTAACAACCTCCATGTCAAAGATTGCTAGCGAGATATTCCTATTAATTTTGAATTTAAATGAAACAAGTGCGTACTATGTTATACTTAGTCTATCTTTTTATCTTTCTCTGTCTGTAGTATATCTAATATTTGGAACTTATGACGTTATGACATCTCAAATTATTTCATAAATTATTACATCCATAGCTCTCGTTCTTCTAACAAATAGGTATTATTAAGATCTTAATTTTAAGAATTTTTGAATATTTAAGAATTTATTGCATAAAAATAAAATTACTTAGTAAAATTTATTTATGTAGGTAGTCCTCTTGCCTAGTTGCTGATGTAATATGTCTATTTTTTTTTATTTCAGAGATCGCAAACTTAAAAATGATGTAAAGGCTTTAGCCAAGAAGTTGCACAGAGATAAAAAAACTAAAAAGTCAATAATGAAGACACCACAGACACCTGAATCGCAAAGTTGTAATGTTATAGTGGAAAGTGCTGGTGTTTTTGTTGTTTGAGAAGCTGTTGATGTGCCAAGGGCAAAAGAAAATTTTTATTATTTCGCCAAGTTTTCTCTTCTTTTTGATAAGTTGTTTATTGCCGTATTCGTTGCAAAATAAATTTTGCCTTTTAATTCTGTTTATGAATTTTACAGAAATACATAAATTTATTGAGAGGACTTATTATTTCTTTTATAATCACAAAATAAATAAAAATAAAAGTATTATAATTTTCCATCTAATCATGGTTACCCTATGCCGTTATTTAATATCAAAGTACAGTAATGATTTGACTTCAGCGTTTAATAAACGACATCCATTTATAAAATGCATTATTTTTTAAGAGTAATGACGCAGGAAGCCGGTGTAAATTTAAATAAAAATAAATCTACTAAAAAACCTTTAAGTTACTGAAGAATAATGAGCTATGAGCGATTTTGGGGATAGATAAACTATTAGATTTCTGAACGCAGCCTAAAATTACATAGTACTGTCAATGTCAATGAGGACAGAATTGAAATTGAAGTTTGAATTATGACCAATCAACGTTAAAATATTTGACCTATTTTATTTCTATTGGTTTGTGTGACCAGTGGTGATTCATTTTATTTTGTGATTGGTTGTTTTGCCGTATGATGACATTCAATTTAGTTTCTAATATTTAGCCCGCGTCACTCCAAAAACATTTGCATAGAATCTATGCAACCAGTTCATTGAATTAAAAGATTTTCTTACTATAAAGCTTTTGTGAAACTTAGAAAATAGATATTTTATATAAAGTTATATTTTAAACAGCTGCACAATAGTATTAATATTAATTTATTTTATTGTGTTGATACTCCTAAATGATTCGTTTTAGTTTTGGCAATATAAGAGTAGTGCCGACTCGTAAATAACTGATTGTAGTAGATATAGGTATTTATTTATTTACGATTTACGATTAATATTGTTACCATTATTTCTCGATTATTTTTTATTTATAATAATAGATTGAGCGTATTTATTTGTAAAACGCTAAATAGATATTATGGTGATGATAGAAACAATTAATGGATGGAAATTAATAAATAATGGAGGTTTTACTTGATTAATTTAATTATTCGGTCTCGAGATACAGAAGGTAGGTAAGTCCATGAATATTCAGATTGATATTAAATTATTTTCAATTTCTCCTAAATTTCAGTAATATTTCCCTTTTTGTGTATTTTCCATTCCTTTAGTGATCCAGTGAGTGTTGTTGACTGGAAAACGTAATGATGATTGAAGTCAGTTTATTGGATATGGTGATAGCCACCATGGGAGTGCTAATAACCATGGCCCTATTGAGCTGTTTATGCTGTTTGTGTATGAAATTCAGGTGAGTGTGTTTACTACTTTGTTTGAATTTTTTATTCTATAGAAATTCGTGTTCAAAGATAAATAATTTTTAAAAGGTTTTTGATAACAATAATTGCAAGTCTAAGAATAGAATAGAAATAATCTTTATTTAAATAGACTTGTTTACAATATCTCTTCAATAATATAATGGCTCTTTTGGCAATTTACCTCTTTTACCAAATTCCAATGGGACCATAGAAGAGTCATCAGGTCTTGCATTGGGATCAACAGTTGAATGATATACTTAATCATGATTATTTAAAGCAGTAGCTTTTATAATAATAATGAAGCAATTGTTCTTTATATTTGCTATATTGCTTTAGAACATCATGGATGGTTACTGGGTTACTTATTACTTTTAGTCATATATATTATATAGCAAAAAGTCACAAGGAGCTATTTCACAGCTATATGGAGGTCTATAAAGCTGCTCTAAGTAAAATTTTATTTCAATATTAGTGAAAATTACAATTTTAATTAATTATTTTATTTAATTACTAGCATTTATCCATATCTTCATCCGTGTGACCAGGATATGTCCATTGACTAGGATAAAGTAAAGTAGCCTATAACTTTCTCCATCCCATACTCTATGTGTATACTAAATTTCATAGTGCTTGTTTAAGGTGTTAAGGCAGTTAACAAACAAACAAACTTACATTCTCATTTATAATATTACTAAGGTTTAAACAACAATTTGTTTACAAATTACAGTGATCTCCGGTTGAAGTGTTACATAATAGAAACAGCAAAGAAGAAAGGCATTAAGGTAGACCTCGATAAGTTGGATCCCAAACGTGAATGCCAATCGCTGCAAGCAAACGAACATTGCACAATTATGGTGCCAGATGTTGGTATTATACTATAGCTTGTAAGAAAAAGTATTTATAAACAAGTTTGCTTGTAATTATAGTAAGGTTACATAACCTTTATTGCCTCTGATATGTATATACCAGAGGTAGAATTTGTGTAAAATTGAATGTATGAGTACTTCTCAATTCACTTGTCTTATACTTGTTTCTATTACCAAATAACAGTCTTTCATACTGGTATTGTTCAGGAAGGCGCATACGTACTCTTTGCAAAGCTTTGCTCGCATCTTAGGGTGGGCATAAGATGATTCTAGGGTGGGCGTCAGAGGATTGTGGGGTAAGCATGGCTCACCCAACCTCCATTGAAATGACGACTTGGATCTTAAATTATTTGGTTCCAACATTATTAGTAGGTAATATGAGAGTATTGGCTACAATTTTTCATATAATTCTGTGCAATTAAGAGTAGTGACTCTATGTTTTTTATATTTTCAATTAATCCAGAGTGTCATATGTAGAAAACATTTAAACATCAAAATCTCAATTTTGTTACTAAGAGCACTAAATTTATAAATAAATAACTATAACAACTTTTTATAGATTTCTTATATTAGATTATATATATATATATATATATATATATATATATATATATATATATATATATATTGTATTCATGTACGCTACTCTGTGCTGTAGACGACACTAAGAGAAATGTTTATACCACATTATATTAATGGTAAGTGAATCCCGTGTCGTGTGAACAAGCCTTTACTGTATACACGTATAATAGGGTACATTATAGTTTTATAAAATTTCTGTCTGTGTTAGTTTTTTAAAATTCTAACGAAATAATTTAAACCTACCGCTCTAGACAAGCGGCGAACGAATTTATCAATAGAGGTCTTCGTTAATACACACTCGTGAAAGAATAAGACGACGAATATTGCTGTCTCGTTCTATCTCATGTACGCTCAGCGATGACGTATTTCTGACCGATTATCATTCGCTAATGGCTAAAGGGCTGTATAGTATAGTAGTTAATGTCGCTTGATTGATCAAGTAATGTACATTTTTTTATAGCTCAATCTTTGCCTTGATTCTTCGTCGGCTTTATGCTGGTTTTGTTAGCCGAGAAACCTTTGTATTAAACGTGTATGTATTATTGATATTATACTCAAATGAAGTTCCTATCGTAAATAAAAAAAAAAGTAGTCATATTTGTACCCTCATATTCATAAAAAAACATTACATCGTGCTATTTTCCCTTTTTCTCAAATTAGGAATTTAGCTAGAGAGAAAGAGATGAAATATAGTAAGTTAAAATAGAATTTTATGATATAGTGAGATTTAGTTTAGAGAATATACTTAAATGAGAAAGTAGATGTAACAATTATTGAATCTTTTATATTATTCCTAGCTTTCGAATAGGTATATACCTATGTATATATACATATATAGTATATGTAAACTTGTCTAAACATTTGAAAGTGAAAATGATAGATTTAATAAGATTTTAATGGTACTATACAGTATGTTAATTAACGTAACCAATTCCTAAAACTAGTGTTAGTATTTAAAAATATATATGACTAAATACTAAAAAATATAATTGTCGAAAAAAAGAACAACCTGTATCTTTACCAACGGAAATGCATAGTACAATATATGTACATACCTATTATTGAGTAGTGCCGTTGGGTTTTGGTGATATTAAAAAAAATCAAGGAAAAAAAATGTTTTTATAATTCTATTATTGTAATTATTTATATTTATAATAAGTTTACTATTGTAATTTTTTGGGGGAAACAATAAAAAGTAACTATCTATCTATCTATTTAAGAATACAAAACTTTGTACAAAAGTCGATTGCTTGGGTACCTCTGTCTCATTCGAGTTTCAACCGCGAAGCAGTTGTGTTTGCATGGCTGTGTTTCGGTTTGAAGGGTGGGATATGGCGTGAATTTACTGGGTACAGAGGAATATCACCTGAGTCCTCAGGAATGGCAACGCATGGGGGGTATCATGGGCGAAACAGTATACTCTGTTATGTCCATGGTACTGCTCATGTGTATAGGCGACGGTTACCACTTTCCATCAGGTGGGCCGTCAGCTTGTTTGCCATTCTAAGTTGTATAAAAAAAAAAAAAGAATAGTTTTAAGTAAGAGGTTACGTCAGTTAACATACTGTATACTAATATTAATAACTTCGATTTTTACAACTAGAGCAATTATAATATATGTAGAGACACCCACTTATTTTATATACTATTTAATATATTAGAACGTAGTTTAGAACGTATATTACTAGAGAGAATCTTGGACACAGGTATTTTATAGATAAGCAATTTTCGCCTTAATCGTTTTCATCTATAATATATACTTATATAAAAACGTATTTATTGGCTTAGTCGTTAAATAAGAAAAGTGGTATACACGTTATAAATATTTTTTTTCTATTTATGACAAAGGGCTTATGCCACCATCGTACAACCCGCCATAAACTAAACTTTCATCCCAACCATCTGGACGAGTGGTGGTCCTCCACCGTGCGTTTTTCAAGGCACTTTCTTCCACGCACAACCACTTTTTGGAATCAACTTCCAGCAGCAGTATTTCCGAACTGATACGACAACATAAACTTCAAGAAAAGAGCATATTCCCTTTTAAAAGGCCGACAGCACGCCTGCAATGCCGTTGGTGTTGTGGGTGACCATGGGCGGCGGTAGTCACTCACCATCATCACCACCGCATGCTCGTTTGCCCTCTGTGATGTAAAAAAAAAACCTATGTATATATAAATGTCCATGGTATTGTTTATGTCTATAGGCGACGGTTACCACTTTCCATCAGGTGAGCCGTTAGCTTATTTACCACTCTAAGTTGCATAAAAAAATCTTTATTACTGCTTTATTTTATTTTTAAGCCACCTTAAAAAAAAAGAAAAGATTTCAATATATCTGATAGATAGATCCAATTTTTTATTCACTACAAAAGATATTAGATAATTAACAGAAAGTTTTATTAAAAAAATATTTTATTTAGTTTAATGTATTAAAATTAAAACTTATAAAAGTTATATATATTAACTTTTAGATTTTGTCATTTTATTATTATATTATTATTTTTAATTCCTAAAATTTTTGACTATTAGAAGGTGTAGGGACACCGTTAAGCGGTGGAAATACGTTTGTCCTTACTTCTGATATTGAGGATGAAGCGATTACAATATTTAAGAAGGTACGTGCACTTACTTACTACTTGATTTCAAGCCGAGTGCAAGGACGAGTTAACTAACTGCCCTCCAACTTAATAATAATGTAATCGCTTCATATCCGCGAGATGTGGACATTCGATTAAGAATCGAATAATCGATTGATTGAAGCGCCGCTTGGGACGATACAGAAGGTTTATCTTAAAAGTAAAATACATCCACTGTAATATTTCTGTTTAATTTAAAGCTTATTACAAAAAGAGGAGGGTCTTAATTTGTTTGGTAGGTACTTTAGTGTTATCTTCAAAAGTGTGTGTGGTTTTGCATGTTCTGGATACGACAACGTTGACACTTACTGTTTCCTTTCATGCACTCTAATGTAACTAGCGAAACTAAGTTTGTTTTTGAAGACCTAGTGCGGTATAGTTGGCTAGATTTATTGTTTATATATATGTAGGATCGTTTAGCACAAGTCTTAAGAGCGAAACATTTAAAAAAAATATTATTATTGTTATTTCAACCGTTAACTGTAAAGGAAGAATAAGGGAAGTTTTGCCAGTAGTTGCCACGCTTGGCAGGCGGGTTGGCAACGGCAGTTAGTCTTTTAGAGATGTTTTAAGAGGGACGCTACTGTCCATCCCTCGCCCTTCCTTCCACGGGAAAGAAAGGGATGTCCCATTCTATGTCGGGGCATACACGGAGATTTAAAAGATTACAGTAGTAAATAAAAAAAAAATAAGTAAATTAAATTAAATAAAAAAAAAAGATCTTATTGATAAATGCAATATCTTCTAGGCAACCATTCCAATAGCTGTAAACCAGCGTCTAAATCTCATGTGATGTTATAGATGAGCAAAATTACTATTGAAAGTGTTCAAGGTCTAAAATATTTGTATCTTGTATTTAAATCTTTATTTTCCTAATATATAATGTAGAATTTAACATAGAAACTGGATATTCTACGAGTCAGGAAAATATTCGGAATTATTATCTTTGCAATATATATGTACGTACTTATCTAAAAGGTAATATTAATAGATGGAAACTAATTAAGTTTAATTAAATAAATTTAATTAATTAATTATATTTAATACTTTCAATATTATATTAATAAAAGTAAACAAGTACGCAATAACCTATGTAACGCTGGAAAGAAGAACGGCATATCGATTATAACAATCGACGTGCCGTTAAACCGATTTGGATTATTGTTTTTTTTATATTTAAGGAATTTGCTGAAAAACAATATATTTCACTTTTGTGGAACAGCATTTTAGATAATTTAAATGATTAAAAATAATTTGAGTTATTTAAATTAATTAAAATTGTTGTGTTCCGTTACAACGAATTTAATTTTGATTTTACTATGTTGTTCGTACAGCGATACACACAAAAAAAGTGTCCTTTAAGCTCAGTCAGATATTAAGTTATCGGCACATCTAATTTCATATAAAATATGCACGGTAGGTTATCTATGATACACGTACGAGTATTGATACGATCTAGTCACGTTTTAATTATAAGTATAGATACTGATCTCATTTTGTGCATTTATTTAATTATACTTATAAATGCTGATCTCATTTTGTGCATTTATTTAATTATACTTATAGATGCTGATCTCATTTTGTGCATTTATTTAATTATACTTATATATGCTGATCTCATTTTGTGCATTTATTTAATTATACTTATAGATGCTGATCTCATTTTGTGCATTTATTTAATTATACTTATATATGCTGATCTCATTTTGTGCATTTATTTAATTATACTTATAGATGCTGATCTCATTTTGTGCATTTATTTAATTATAAGTAGAGATGTTGATTTTTTTATGCATTTATTTAATCATGTAAGTCAATAATTTAGAATTTTAATAATTTACTTTGTCTGCGCAGAGATGATGGCTTTTTGTTTGCGTACATAATTTCCATTTGTGTAAACCATGTATTTGAACAACGTGTACGCATACGATATTAGAAAAAATAAATACTAAAATCATAGAGAATGATTGAAAATTTTTTAAACGGACGATGTTGGAATTTGCACATTCCACGCCATGTTCAGGTCAGTTTAGCAGTTCAGCTACCGTTGAACACCCGCTCATGAATTTGCAATTTTGAAGTAAATTACTAAGTGTCTAATTAAAAATGTTTATTCGGGTTATTAGGTCATAAATCGACGAATGTTTTTCATCAGTTATGAAGGGGCATTTCGCCCGCACACAAAATTTCTTATTGGCGCAGGTCATAAAGTGTATTTTTTTGTCATAAGTTATTTTTAGTCCATTTTTATGTATAATGTATAAAAATACTTATAATTTTTTATATATATTTTTTATTAAGTTGTATTGAATTATTAGATACGTTTTACAAGGGATTGAAATTGTATACCTAAGTAAAAATTGTATGAGTTCTCACTCTACTGTTATTCTTCTATTGATTGAAAAAGTAACGAAGTTTGTGAGAATTTACTGAAATGTAATTAAATATGTATGTACAATGTTTAACAATATTTGTTTGTAATTGTTAAATTATTTATCTTCACTGTAAGTCCCTTATGGCTAATATATATTAAGGGTCTTTGGTGTTCTCTTCCCTTTAAATTTCAAGTTTAAATACAGAGCTGTTGTTTTAATACGTTCGTAAATCGATCATATCCTAGTGGACTAGTGGAGTAGTCATCATGGACTCTTAAGTCCATGATGACTAGTCTCGCGTTTCAGAGAAAACGAAAATTGAGGGTATAAATAGATTTATTTTTTATTTCCTAATGTATTACCAATTGATGCTATCAAACTAGTTGTAGAGAAATAAGAAATTTTGCAATACCATTTATTTCTAGGTTGAAATTATATGTTTGAATTAAATCTTCCACATTAATTATTGTTGAATTAATTATTTTCACAGAATTTACATGTATATTAATTTTTTCTTTTTTTTTTTGTTTATAATCTTTTTTAATGAGGTATTTTCTTTGAATCCAAATAAAGTTTTTATTTTATTGCTGCTGGAAGTGTCAGACTGACTGTTTTTGTTAATTTGAGTATGCTCTCAAATGTGTAGCAATTCTAGAGTACAACAGATTGAACTAATATACGCAATAACTCTTAAAACTTTATAGTCATATTATTTTTTATAGTCGAATTTTCATGGATTGCTTATTGTCCAGCTTAAAATATTTCTTAGATCAGGCCTTACAAGGCTGCAAATAACCTATTGAACCACCCGGCTTTAACTTTCATTTCATCTAGGTTTAACATCTTGTATTGTGGCAAACTCATTTAAAGCAACAGATCTGTATATTGTTTTACACTATTATGAATTTCATATTTTATATTGAATGATGTATTCAAATTGAATCCAGCGTCAATCGAATTTTGGTGATTATCTCTCGTTTTTTTTATTATAAGATACCCAAGTATCGAAAATAAAAAAAAATGTATCTATGTTATACTTTTACTAGTTTTAACATTTTAAGTGGATAGAAACTGATAGATAATCGAATGACGAGACCAAAGACGCATCAAGACACAGCTATGGGCCAAAATGCAGCGCACAAAATGTTATAAGTATTTTAAGGCGTTTACACACGAATGGAATAATGTAATAAATATTTGATGATATTTATGTATTTGTCTGATGGTTGATATGCGATCTCTGACGTAATAGGTATTTTTATGCTTTGATATTAAGTTATAACATTAAAAGCACCTACAAGCGTCGTAGTGTTGTTATATTATTCCTTTATCTATGATGTTATTTCATCAAACCTAAACTTTTTATTAGGTGTTTGTGTAAGCACAAGTAATGTTAAATAATAAAATTATTTCGATTTAACGATGTGTGCCAAATACACCGAATCACAATAGTTTCATTCATTCAATAATGAAAAACGATTATTCCGTGTGTAAATTTATAATAAAGGGTAGTGATACTGCCATTACGCCAATTGTGTGACTGAATGTTTAATCTATTATTATTAATGTATTTAGTACATATTTTGTAGTCATCTTTGAAGTTATTAACTAGTCGAAATAAACTATTAAAATGATTTTTTTTTTAATTCAAAATGCTCCTCTTTATAAGTTGAAGTACCTATTCAGAGAAACAGAATGTCGTTATGGTGAACTTAATATTAGAATAACCGAAGCCTGTAATCTCTAGCACTGTTGAAATAGATGATAATGGAATGGTAACCCCGCCTGCGCTAACGGTATACGCTGGCGGGGTACCAGTGAGGGATGATTGTTTAGAATGAAAAAGCAGGTCAGTTAGCCTATTATGATGAATACATTTGAATTTTAGTAAGTTGGTTTCCAAAGGAAACCACGTGGAGGTCAACCTGACAGGGTATATTGGTAGCAATAGGACTGGTAGTCCACATTACTAACAATCCCTTCTCTCCGTATCTTTAGCACCAGGAGGGAGAAATTGTTTCTCATCTCATCTCATATCTGTCATGCCTGTCTCCTATTAGGGTAGGCAGAAACAATGGAACGCCAAATGCTTCGATTCAAGTAGACCTCTTTCGCTTCTTCCACATTCATAAATCACGCTCGCCGGTTACGGGTACTTTTAATTTGGCCTTTCTTCAGCACGTCGCCTATTTGTCCACATACGTCCGTCTAGGGCGGCCCCTACCGACATCTCCATTCATTTACTTCATTCATTCATTTAGTTAATAGTTCTGTGGTATTTAGAAGTTATGTCTAGCAACACTGTCGTACACGATCGGTTTGTCAGAGTAAACGCATTTTGGAAAAGCCTAATAATGTAATGATATGTAGGTATACGCTGATAGGAAAGTCTAATGTAACAAATAAGAAAGTTACTATTGATTTAATTAGTGTAATATAGTTTGTATAAAGGAAAATATGACAGTTGGCTGCTTCATTTTCCACATAAACACTACAAATTCCATAGAAATTACATAGCTCCCCCTGGAAATCATTGTAGTTATTAGCTAAACCAACATATCCTCATGATCATCTCCTATTATCTCCCACTGATACTCCGCCAGTGTATGCCAATAGAGTAGATGGAGTTACTACTCCATTTTAATTATATTGAAAGCATCTTCTTTACTTATAAAATTGTTGTGAGTTCGCGAGTAAGAGATCGTTTCTTATTAAAGAGTATATAACTAAGGAACAAGAAACCACACTTCATATAAACCACGTAAAATGACTTGGTCAGTAATATCTATCAAATCAACAGAAAAAAAAAATTCTTTTTCTCGGTATGTTGGCTAGCCTGATATTCGAAAATGGAAACGAATAGGGTTATGTAGTTTTTCGATATTAATAAAATATAAATATTTCACTGAAACATGAACCATGTAATGAAAGAAACATATAAATTTTATGTCACATTGCAATTCGATGTGCGATTCGATGAAAATTTTTTTAGCAAAAATAAAACAAAAAATAACATTCTTAAATATATTTATTATTTTATACAACAGTACCTTGAGATCTAAATTTCCTAATATTATTGATGGTAAACACAAGATTCAACAATTCTCGTAATATCTGGTCAATTTCAAGATTTGATCTCGTAATAGAGTCAATAATAATTGTATATAGTCGTAATTTCCCAAAATAAAAAAAAATATGAAATACAAAGTTAAAACTGTTTCATTTGAATTGGCACTGTTGTGATTTTATTATTTAACTGAACGTTGGCATGATGTTTTCTGACCAAATCCATACATTGTACGCTAGTCTAAAAGTAACGCAAGACTGATTTCCCATGTACTGAGATCGAATACAATATGTAATGTAATTTAAAATTCGTCCGGTACTTACCAGTTCGCGCATGCAAAGCGTATTTCCCGCGTGATTTATGAAATGTATAGAAAGACTTTATTTTTTCCATCTACAACGCTTTCATTGTTCGTGCCAAAATAAGGTGTTCTTTTTTTTGATAAATGAAAACTGAATAGTATTCCGTCTGTGCTATTAGTTTACTTCGGCGATGTACCAGTGACAGATGAAAGCGTGAGTATGAAGTGTGTTATTATTATATAAGAAGTTATTCTGTAAAAAAAAATCTAATTTCACAAGAACACCCGTGTGTGTTTTATATTTGATATTTTGTTAGCAAGTAAGATAAATGACACCATTTATCCGCCACCGCCATTAGGATGGCGGAAAAATACTACCATCCTTAGGAAGTCACTTTCTTTTCTTCAATGGTAACCGGTCTTTATTTTTACGACCATTTCTGCTAGCGTCAAGTATTTTAATTTTAGTTTCATTCTTCAGAATATCGCCAAGTTTAACGTTTTGCGCCTTTTTCCATCATCATCTTATACATTCAACGATCATTTTGACATGACATTTTTTTTTTTTTTTTTTTTTTTTTTTTTTTTTTTTTTGTGGCGTTCACCCCGATATTAGGGTATTTTGCCAAGAACAAAACGGGGAAACGATAATAGTAATAAAAATACCTAACACAAACGAATTTAGAAAGGATAAGGATTAGGTCTAGGATATTTATAGGATATGAAACATATACTTGTACATATGAGAATATACTTATAAATATATAGGAAAAGCAATTGATGCAACTATAAATGTATTCATGTAATATAACTAAATCTTAATATTGTTATCATATATATATGAAGATAGTATTTTATAGATAATAGGATCATTGGAAGAAAGTAGAGTAAGAATAGAAGTTGGGAATGGAACACGGATGGATCGGAGATGATTAAAAAGGGAGGTGTGGTCAAATTTAGAACATGAGAAGAATATATGATTCAAGTCCGCCACTTCAGCACCGCAATTACACGACGAACTTTGTACAATACCAAGCTTGTATAAATGAGAAGGTGTGCATACGTGACCTAGACGCATACGAGTTATAATAGTTGTTGCGGTCTTTCCAAGCTTTAATTTACAAAACCATGGTTTGAAAGGAATATCGGGTTGTATAAGGCGATAAAATCTTCCTTTTATTGTACTTGTTTTTTCCCAATATTCCTTCCAGGCATACCTTAAATATATTTTTGGGAGACAAGCTAGGTCACTACAGTAATTATGATACGGATACATATCACCACAAGTTACAGCCTCTCTTGCAATAAGGTCAGCTTTGTCATTGCCGCTAATACCACTGTGTCCTGGTAACCAGGCAAAAGAAACGGAATAACCTCTCAACATGCAAAGATAAAGACTTTGTCTTATGTCACAAATAATGGGATAAACTGGTTTTGATTTAAACGGATATTTGGCTAGAGCTTGCAAAGAGCTCATAGAGTCAGTGAAAACTATTGCCTTATGTAATTTCATTAAAAGTATATATTCTACAGCTTTTAAAATACCATAACATTCCCCGGTAAAAACTGAAGACTCCGGTGGAAGTTTAATTTTTTGAACGATATTAAATTGTGAATGAAACACACCCACACCTACACAACCGCTATTGTCTGGTTTTGATGCATCAGTAAAGATGTAGTGCCATTCATTCCATTCAATGTCAGTTATAAACATAAATTTGGCATTCAATTCTGAATCATTTTTTAATAACCCAAAATCATATTTAATATTAGGAGATAAAACTAAAGATTGATATGAGCATTTATAAATGGGAAAACAGGACGATGTAAAAGTGGGAGATTCTATGGATTTATATTTTTCATAACTTTGTATTAAACATGGAGGTTTTTTATGTTTCCAATAAGATGAAGACGAAATAAAGATATGTAGTTGAGATAACTTTTGAATAAGCGGATGATCAGATAATTGTAAACAACGAAAAAAGAAGCGATCAGATAGATATTGTCTTCTTAAAACCAAAGGTGGATCACCGACTTCGAGCTGTAAAGCATTGATTGGACTTGATTTCATTGCTCCAGAGATAATCCTCAAGGCCTTTGATTGAATTAAATCCAATTTCTTAAAAGCAAATGAACTTCCTGGAGCTAACAAAAAAGTTCCATAATCAATGACACTCCTTATAAGACCATTATAAGCAAGTTTTAGTGAAACGGGATGTGCTCCCCACCAAACTCCAGCAAGGCACCTAAGAATGTTGAGGTTACGCTCACATTTCGTAGAAATATAATTACAGTGGGACAGACCTGTTAATTTATTATCTAGCACGATACCTAAAAATTTAATTTCAGTCTTTATAGGAATGTATGAGTTATCATAAAGCACCTTAATTTGTTGCGGTGATCTCATTCTTGAAAACAAAACTACACTACTCTTGGTTACAGAAAGATTAAGACCATTTGCATCTAACCACGTTTTTAACAAATCTAATGAATCAGATAATTTGGCAGAAGCAGATTCTATGGACTTCGCAATAAAATATAATAAAAGATCATCAGCATATTGTAAAATTTTGACGGATTTATCAAGGAATAATTCTAGATCGTATGTGTATATGTTAAATAAGATTGGACTGAGAACAGATCCTTGTGGAAGGCCTTTCCATACTGTTCTAGATAATTTGGTATCTTCATCTAAATTCATATATATTGTTCTTTCTGATAAAATATTAATAATGAAATTAGAAAGCATTACCGGTACATTTAGAGCTTGTAATTTAGTTTTTAAAATAGAAATTATTACATTATCATAGGCAGAATTTATATCTAAAAAGGCTGAGAGGATTGACAAATTTTGTGAGAAAGCTATATGAATATCTGAAATAAGAATGCTCACATTATCTAAGGTGCTCTTACCTTTCCTAAAACCAAACTGGTTCGGGGATAGTAAGTTATTACTTTCTAAAAACCATTCTAGACGGTTTTTCACTAAATGTTCAGCTAGCTTTAGTAAGACAGAGGAAAGTGCAACAGGACGGTATGAAGATGGTTCAGAAGGTGGTTTATGAGGCTTTAGAAATGGTATAATAATCTGAGACTTCCATGAAGTAGGTATATTTCCCGAAATAATTATGGAATTAATTATATTTAAAAAGTAAATTAATGTCGCATCGCTAGCATTTTTAAAAAAGGAATACGGTATACCGTCTTCTCCCGGTGCAGAGTCTTTAATAGAAGCTAGAACACCTTTAAGTTCTACTAGAGTAAAA